ACCAAGAATCGTTCCATCATGCAACTGTGTAATTCCAATGACTTCAAACTTATCATGATGAACTTTGACCCAGTGGCTCTTCAAGTCAGGACGTGTCCAGAGCTTGTGGTCCATGTCAATACCAAGAATCGTTCCATCGTGTGAAACTAGTAAAATGCAAAAGAAAAACAATTGAGATAATATTATCTTGAGGGTCAATGTGAATGAGTATGAGGGTTTTATTAGTCTCTAAACAACGCACAGACACTCGAACCTAACTATATCCACACTCACAGTCCCCTGTTCTTAGCGTGGACGCTTAGTATTTATCCTGCACTTATATACACCCATACTCTATACTACGATTCTGTTCATTGCTGACTTCCATCAAGCATCCTAGACCATAAACCTAATTATCACCCACCATGTATATCATTTGATTTACAGCACTAAGGTATCTTTGATCAGTTTGTGTGAAAAGAATGAAAAACTGATTGATTACTCGAGATTTCCATCTTTCTGAGATTTTATTGGTTTAGAAAATTGATGAGTCAGATCACGGACAAACATCTCATTTTCCATATCCGACACGCATCTTTTCATGATAGGGAATAAAAATCCAGCTAAACGCATGGAAATATTTGTTACACATCTTAATCAATTATTTCTATAGAAAATCCTACCTGGGTCACCATGGTTTCGCATTGTAGCGCGAAAGCTGTCGCCACTATTTTCATCATCAACTAGCTGTTCCGCGACACGTCGTAAAAACATATTGTACTGCCCACGCTCGTCATCATTGTAACCATTAATTCGTCGACGCAATGCTTGGCTGTAAGAATCGTATGTTGCAACTGATGAATGCTTTGCAACAATTGCAGCGAAAGCTATAATCGCTACCAAAGTAGTAAACCAATGCATTTGTATATTGTCGAGTGAGGATATGAGTGTATCCGTCGATTGATCGGAAATGATTTCTTATTTATAGTATCGATGACAAAAGATGCGCATTCTTCCGTAACGCGAGTTTGATAAGAAGAAAGAAAAAGAATATTATTTGTTTACCAGCTAATCGACCATATAATAATTATGCTAATTGGGAAACATAAAATATACATCTATTTTATGACAACAGAGGATGACTGATTTTTTTTATGGAATGGAGGTGTATTTTTCATGAAGATTTTAAAAATACATTATTACTATAACGAACAACAATCCAATTAGAGATCAGATTGATAATTATACTAATTGGGAAACATAAAATATTCATCAATTTTATGACAATAGAGATTTAATGATTTGTTTTCAAGGAATAAAGGCGTAGTCTTAATGAAGATTTTAAAAATACATTATCACTATACCCATGTAAAAAA